CATTTGTTACCGAAATAATTAGTTTGTGTTGGCAGCTTATAACTAACGAACAGAGAATCGCTTACCGAAAACGACGTGATGCAACTTGCGTTAATTGCTGCACGAAAATTTACAGATGCTAAAAAAAAGTTATTGTGTGTGCCTTGTATAATGTCCAATATGTGTGAGTATGCAAATGGCACGTTTCTATGTATAGCTTTCATCGTGAAACTAATAACTACGTGTATCTGTATTTATTGTTCTGGCTCATTATTTTCCCAATAGGCCTATCCTTTGAATTTGAATATGGATAAATTGGCCGCGTGGTTATTTTCATCTCTATATATACCTAATTAGTCTCTTGTACATTCCTCTTTCCAATGCACATACGTTACTCAAATTCATTGAGCTGGCATGAGTTCATATAGAACGTTCATAGTCACCGACTGCAGTGCATACGGGCAGAGCCGTATATAGAGACACTCTCTATATATGGCTCTGCATACGGATAAACATCACGTGACAGGTAAATATTTACAGACGACTATACGCATCGTATTTTTTTGTCATAATCCCCGCTTCTCCCAAGACGTGACGTTTTCCAAAACAATTGTATAGTGACGTTCGATGTTCGTTTGCGTTTTTTAAACAATTGTATAGTGACGTTCGATGTTCGTTTGCGTTTTTTAAACAATTGTAATATGTCACCACCATTGCCTGCTTTTGCCCATACTAACAAAAAGGTCCAGTTCCGGCACGAACAGTATCTGTACACTTGCATAAACATTGCACATAATCTACACGTGATGTTGTTCTACTTGATATGTTCATAGTTCGAGTTGATCAAGTATGGTCGAGGCATGGAGGATTTGAGCATGTCACCTTTGTGCTAGTAAAACGTAAAAGGAGCGCTGTCGCATCTACGCCCTATATGCAATCAAAGGATCTTTCCTGTTCGTCTGTCCACTGAAAATCACTCCTAAGATCATCGGTGCCATCAAAGCAGCAGCTCTCCATTTCACCTGTTCCCGGCTGATAGTCGCGTTACCCGTATCGATCTCGCCTGCGCGCATGGCGGCTCAGTATACCACTGGCAGCAAGAACAAGTCCGCACCAGCTACAGCACACACGCCGCCATTCACTATAATAACAACTTTATTATAGTGTTGTTATTGTTAATATTGTTAATTGTTGTTGTTATTGTTATGTTGTTATTATAGTGAATGGCGGCGTGTGTGCTGTAGCTGGTGCGGACTTGTTCTTGCTGCCAGTGAGTATACGTGTGACATTGCGCAGGCGCGTTGCATCCGCGGCTGCGGTTGCTCGGTCAAGCCGCAGCATTCGTCGTTAAAATTTCACACGGCCGTTCTGGCAAGTGCTGCGTGTGTGGCAGCAGCCATAATGTATATTAAAACCGTCGTGGCGTTGCATGACAAGCGGTGCACGTCGTGGACGCGATACCGGCTCGGAACTATTTCGTAACTGCACGCGCGGTTTCATCGGTAGATTGTTTTCCATTATTTTGCCGTCCTGTGGGATCGCCGCTAGGGGGATAAAGAGGGATGCCATTAGAGCCGAAATAACCTCAGGTGCCATCCCGTCCGAGTGTGAATGATGCAGATGTGGACGAGTTTTATTCACTTAATGCGTAGTGATTATCAACTGCGCGCTGTACGTTATATACGTTCGTGTCGTGACTAGTTTGTGAGATTAATTGCGGGAATTGTTCGTCGCCGGGTGTTGCCGGTTATATATTGCGTTGTTGTTACGATGATTTGTTTTAATAAAAGAAAAATCGTGTACATGGTGACGACTATGAAACTTTTCTGTTTGAATTTATTTTAGTTTACATACTGTCTTGTGGCCCTTTGATATACGTTTCAGAGCCGTAGCTAGCGGGGAGGGGGCAATCAATTGCCCCTAGGACTTGGCAGTGCCAATTGTAGTGGGGTAGTTATGTGAAAGAATTGTGGGTTTTGTGGTAAAAGCACCACAATCATGGTGAAGCGTCCTCTGTCTACTGTCCAAAGCACAGACCGCACGTGGATTTGCATCCATCCCATCAGGGGAAACAGAGTTAGCTATGCTCCTGAGATGATTAAGTTTTCTCTGGCATGGATGCATGACATTGTCGTCTGCTGTTTTTCAACAATCCGCCGTGTTACTTACACCTAATCTACGAATGTTAATTTTTTAGACCTAATTATCGAATTTTCTTTGCCTAAGTAATTTCGTAAGTTTTTTTTGGCAGTCGCGGTTACCAGTTACGTGTAAATCGTTATACACATGTACACACACGCGCGCGCACGCACGCACGCACGCACACACACACACACACACACACACAACACACACACCAACACACACACACACACATACAACACGCATACACACACATACACGCGCCGCGGCACACACGA